CCGGGGGGGGGGGGGGGGGGGGGGGTTTTTGTTTTAAAACCCCCCCGGGTGGAGAAAAAAAAAACCCCCTTTTTTTTGGGGGGGGGGGGGGGGGGGTGTACTCATAGTCGTGCATGCCGTAGTCGTTTGACCATTGACCTCGCATCCCTACAAAGCCGGGACGGAGCACGCCGGGTTCTCACCGGACCAGGCTCTCACATCACCAAGCGCGAAGCGCCGTGAGGTATTTGGCGAGTCGCATGAAGGGTGAGCTGCATCCTGCTAAGGGTGTTCGGCATCTTGTGCTTACTTCCTTGCGTACGGATGACAGCTACGTATGACTTAATTTATTTTCTGGTGCTTTCACTTCCAGAGACAGTTATAAGCACTGTGTAACTGCCTCGAGAAAGCTTGACCATTTTAACACAACGTGGTGCGATCATCCCCCGTTGCGCGGAGTGAGGGTTCTCGACCCCGCACAACATGATCTACTCGACCACCATTCATGGTTACCGCCAAAAAAAAAACGAGGTAAAAAAAAAAACGGTAACCTGGTTGCCGAGTTCACGAAGTGAATTGGCTTGTTTTACAACGTCGTTGCCAAGCGACGAAAACCCAATCCCGATGGCAAACACCGAGCGGGGGCGGGGGGGGGGGGGTATTCCCGGGGAGTGGGGGAGTAGGAAAACGCGAGTCGTACATATCCATAAGAGTAGCTCAGTGTCTGATACCACAATAAGTGTGCGGATTTATCAAACAACAGCCCACCTGCCCGCGTCAGAAAGAATGGGCAATACGTGATGGGGGTGAGGAAAGAGATATTTCGCACTTGGGTGGGCTGTGGCAATTGCGCCATCTCCCCCTGGCTATCTGCACTGTGTACGTACGTACCCTTAGTCCACACGACTCGTCGCCTACTACCCACTCTCGCTGCTCTCATAAACGGGCTTGGTTCTGCCTGCTGCCCATCGGTATCCCACTATGGCAGAGTTGGCTCACGCTGCCTGTTGTTCCCTCCACTCTCAACATTTGCATTCCTCCCAAACACGGCCCGCTCGACTCAAAACAGGCGATGGACCGCAAAAACCTGACACCACCTCTTAACGCAGGCCGCAGTGCCCTATTCAACGGGTGCACACCGCAGGCGTTCTCAACGGCCACCTACAGCACTGACTGTTTCAGCCGTGCTGCCGTTCTTGTTCTTGCCTGGGTAGGGTAAACGGGAGCGAAATAACCGAGGGACTCACTTGACGATGCACCGCAACATGTCTCCCGGGCACCTCATCCGTGACATCTTGAGGAGCTGAGCCTCCGCGTCGGCCCAGGTGAGTGCCCCATCCTCCTGGGTTGTTGTTGTAACGGTTGGTGCAGCAGCAGCATCAATCAGTCAAACGACAGAAAAGCTGCCCATGTGTGTGGAAGAGAGAGGAGGCTGAAAGGAAAATCGGATTCAGCACCCTTGCATCAGCTTTTCTGCTTGACACTGACACGAAAACCGACGAGGGAGGGAGGGAGGGAGGGAGGGGGGGGGAAGAGACAAAACAGACAAGGCATGTGGCCAAGAAAAACAATTGTTCATTCGTCTGGATGTCGTGAAACGACATGTACGCGCGAAAATGACAACAGTCTTCGTGTGCATGGGCGCCGTGTGTCACAATCACCCGAGGGCTGCCTGCTCTTGTCACCGTCGGTGCCAATCGGAAGACCGAGAACAAGGGAAGTTGTGGTGGCGCTGCGACCGGCAAGAGGATAAATAATGCTGCTCTTCGTCTGGTCGTGCCAAACCGCCGAGGCGCAGGCTACGCGTGAAAGCAAGATGCTCCTGGAAGCAATGCATAGGGCTACAACACTTGGAAGACCGTGCCGAGGAATGTTCCGACCACTTTTCGCAAAGTTCATTTCTTGAAGCAGCACATGACCCAAACACAGGAAGACATCAGAGACGCAACAGGCCGCAACGCCTTTCACTTCAATGAACCTCCACAAGACTGCTTTTTACGGAATGTTTGTGCGAAAGAAGCTCGGTTCCGCCCTCCAAACGAAGACGCCGCATCACGCAAGGGACAAAAAACACGGTCTCACCTGCGCGTCAACAAGGGGAGGCACGCCCAGGTGTTCCTCCGTCAGGAAGCCCAGCGAGCGGAGTCGGGTGGAGATCGACGAGTCCCTTCCCGGGTCCGCGGCGAGCCCGTAGGCCTGATCGAACACCTGTCGATTGTCGGTGTTTTCGCGTGCTGTTGTAGGTGCTGTTGTCTTCGTTTCTGTTGCTGCTATTTCTGGTGGTGGTGGTGCTGCTGCTGCTGCTGCTGCTGCTGCTGCTGCTGCTGCTGCTGCTGCTGTTACTGCAGGTATTGCTGGAGTGGATAATGTTTCCGTGAGGTGGTGGTCGTGGTGGCGGTGGTGGTGATGGTGGTATCGTTGTTACTGCCGCTGTTGTTGTGGTTGCTGTGATGATCATGTTTCTGCGGTGCTTGTCGCATGCCCACGTGCAACTCATGCCCAGGGCCATGTTCTGTCCTCGCAAAAAGCGGCCACGATGAGCAACTTAACCCCCCATCCATGTCAAGCACCGATATCACCACTCTTCCCACGCCTAGCGCATTCTTTCCGTAGCTTGCTCATCCCTTGCTTTACTCCAATTTGACCTTCGCCTTCAGAAGTCGCTGTTACACGTAACGCAATAAATACCCCATAATCGATCCAACCGGGCAGGCGTGAAATCCCGGAGCATGGCCATCAAGGGAGAAGCAAGGGCGGCAAGAACTCCTCATGGAATGTAGCATATGAATCGCAATAACAACACGAGTAACATCACCACACAGCAAAAAATAACAACACTGATAGTAGAGAATATCAAACGTTGTAAACAATGGCGATACCTTGTGCATCACAATCCTCTCCAGGCTTTCCCTGGTGTCCTCCCATTGGGCCTCGGTCTCCCTTCGCCACAGGGCACTTTCCCGCATCTGCGCCTCTACCCTTCCCAAGAAGGCGTGCATCATCCTGCGACGACGGGCATATGCAGCACCACGGAGCCGCCCCCGAATTAAAATTCGTTTGTTTGCCGCGGCATTAAAACAGCAACAAAAACCTGCTTCGACATGTGCTCACCCAGGCAAAAAAAACACGCTCCGTGGTCCCAAGCTAACTCAAGATAAGGACAACAGCAGGTCCAGAACGATGAGGGGTGTACCCCATGAAGAAATGCCGCCCAAGTCTCTTGATAAGGATCTTGGCGGCCACAAAACGAAACACTGCTGTAACTTGCACCCCCCCCAAGCCGCTACAGCGGTGCAGGGTCCTTGAATTCTACTAGTGCGGTGACATGAATAGTACTAGTGCGGCGACATGAACAGTACTATTTAGTGCGGCGACACGAACAGTACTAGTGCGGCGACATGGATAGTACTATAATAGTGCGGCGACACTTTTCTCGCCCATTTTCGATCGGGTCGAAACTCGTCGCACTCGCGCAAGACTCGTCCTTAACCGGCCCGACAAGCTCGTGAACAAACGCTGACACCATCGGCTACGCACTACCCCACTCTGCTTTTTTCTCACCCACTCATGGTCACCGCAGTCACCCCACTGCCGCCACCGCCACCGCCCCCAGAGTTGTTGGCAGTAGCGCCGGCACTCCCATTAGGCGATGTATCCGCTTCCCTCCCGTTTCGTACAGCTGGGACGGGCACCCCTACGAACGCATTGGAACTCCCGGCGGTTGCTCCCCTGAGAATCGAAGCATGTGCGTGGGGTGCGCATGGGGGGGGGGGGGGGGGGGGGGGGACCCCCTTTTGGTTTTCCCCTAAATTTGAACAAAGATTCTTTGCGATAAGGGGAAAAAAATTTTTTTCTCCCCCCCCCCAAAAAAAAAGGTTGAAAACCAAACCCCCCGGGGGGGGGAAAAGCTCCAACCCCCCCTTCCCCGGGTGGGGGGGTTTGGGGCGGGGGCTTTAACCAAAATCGGGGGGGAAAAAAAAGCTATGGTGTAAAAAAAAAAAAAAGGGGGG